GAGGAAATGTTTTTAGAAAGGAGAAAGCATTTACCTGGACACTCATATATTCATTTGTCTCATGTTACTAAAAGGACAATAATAGCACATCTCTCAAATCTGTAGCATTTTATTCTCCTTAATTTTTATTATTTGTCATTTAAAAAGTAAGGAACTCCAGTAACAGATAGAGGCCACCAAAGTAAACTCATGAAACAACTGCACTATTGCAGTTTTTATGCTGCTGGCATGTTAGTAAGAAACAGAAAAAAAGTACATGACCAGTTTTGAGGTGCATAATTTCTTGCTTGCAGGAGAAGGTGGTAGGGCACAGAGCTTCAGCTGTACAGGTTGCTTAAGGGAATGGGAAGAACATGAAGATCCTGTAGAAGAACAGGCAAAGTAGTTCCCTGAGTGAGTGACAGACTATCTTGACAATTCCCTTCTGTGCAATGAGAGTTGCCATACACTTTTGCCATTGTTGTTTGATACTACTTTAAATATATATAAGTAACTGTGTTTCTGAGGACATTGTGCCCCTGTGAAAATCCTTTTTTAAGTTAATGTTTAAATGTAGAAATACAGTAAATTTTCCAAACAAAAGGAATGTTTGTAAAATAGTTCCATCTTTCTGACAAACATAAGCAATTGAACTAACTGCTATGTCTTTTGAAAACACCTTTGTGTGCTTGAAAAGTCACTGGAAGAGCAACCAGAGAGCCCATCAACATTACTGTCTGCACAGGTTTGTGCTTGTCTGCAATATTTGCTGTTAGTGATGCAGTTTTAGTGCTTTGCAATTTTAATTGATAGTTCAGGTTACAGGGAGCCACTGCACGTGTATATGCAGAACGAGTAGCAAAGGCAGCCTATTGCAGTTCTCCATTCCGGACAACCTTTCGAATGCTCTGGGTCTGAGGTTGCTGAATGGGCAGGGGTACGTGACCTGCGCCTGCATGGTGCAGGCAACACCTCTGCCTCTGTGAAGATGTTTCTGAGCTCTGTGGCTCAGGTACCTGCAACGCTCAAACACCCCCAAACAGTGGCTGCCTGCTTGCAGATATTGATCCAAGCTGGGAGAAGGTGTCTCTGCAGGGCAGCTACCGGTGATCAGCTTTTCAGTAATTAACAGCAATCATACTTTGCTGACAAATTATAATACGTGCATCAGCACCTGGACTCCTGGGCTGCTCTGTTGGTAGCAAAGTACCCCAGTCCAGGGTGTTGGGCCCAGCCACAGGAACCACAGAGCTGTTGCACATAGGCTGGTGAGAGGAGGGGAGCTGAGTCCCAATTTGTGGGACTGAGAGAAGCTAATGGAGAGGTTTTGGGCAGGACGTGTTACTGTGGGAGATCTCACAGCTCCTCTCTCAGGTCTGTTTGTATTGAGAAGTACAAGGCTATTAATTATTCATTAACTAATGTGAAAGATAGAAGGGATGTCACGAGCACGCTGACTGTCCTCCTCAGGCAAACAAAGGGACTCTGCTGGGCAGGCATGTGGCAGCTCTTGGCCACTAGCCCCCCTGTCTTACCCTGGTCCCTCTGCCTGGAGCCGTATTCACCCTAATCTCTGCAGTCTGTGTCAAGATAACACATCAATGTCGTATCAGAGCTGGGCCTTGGATCCTTGGTAGGCAAGCAGCAAAGCTGAGCTGCTGTCTGACCTCAAGGTGTTCCATAAGCTGGCATATTTGCTCTGCTCTCTAAGAGTGGTGTTTGAATACCTGTAAACAGATCAGTATCTTATTCTACTAGGCATTAGTGTGCCTGCTAAAGTATCCTTTGTGTTATCAGTCTCCTCATTCTGAGGTATTAAAACTCGTAAATGAGTAGAGTTCAAAGTTCTACTTTTTCAACACAATAACAACAGATTTGTTATACTTTTAATGTACAATACCTCAGCTTCACTGTATTTTCATTCATGTTTCATTTGGGTTTGGAGTATCTTTAAATCCTTACTGATGGGTTTGTTTTTGCAGCAAATGTTGCAAACCGTCGAGGTTTCCAGAAGCTTGAAAAGCTCTCACTGTTAGGAAATCACGATGTTACAGAAACTGGTTGAAGAAACTTCTTTATAACACTTGAAAACTTGCCTGCTTTAAAAGAGCTGGACATAAGCTGTACGCTCACCCATCAGATCAAAGCCAGTCCATCAACACTGACAGCCTTTGTCCAGTGTTTCTTAATTGCCTGGTCTTGTGACAACAGTAATGACGGCCTGGCTCCTTGGCACAGAAGACCTTGGAGTGTTTGGTATCACGAAGGAGCAGCATACCCAGACTAGTTTTAAATTATCTTGGCAATGTGCCTTGCCACTTTCACCAATTTTTCAAGGCTAGAAAAGTTTGAAAGTGTTATGGTTGGGAGTTTTTTTCCCTCTTCCTTCCTGTATTATGAATTTTTTTTTTTTTTGAATCACAGAATCGCTCGGTTGGAAAAGACCTCTGAGATCATCACGTCCAACTGTTCCTGTCTACCCCCTGAACCATATCCTTAAGTACCTCGTCTACCCGCTCTTTAAATACATCCAGGGATGGTGACTCCACCACCTCCCTGGGCAGCCTGTTCCAGCTTCTGACGACCCTCTCAGTAAAGAACTTCCTCCTTATCTCTAACCTGAACCTCCCTTGGCACAGCTTGGTGCCGTTTCCCCTTGTTCTATCCCCCATCACCTGGGAGAAAAGACCAGCACCCACCTCTCTACAACTTCCCTTTAGGTAGTTGTAGGTGGTGATGAGGTCTCCCCTCAGCCTTCTCTTCTCCAGGCTAAACAACCCCAGTTCCCTCAGCCGCTCCTCATAAGGCTTGTTCTCCAGACCCCTCACCATCCCTGTGGCTCTTCTACACCTACACTGCAAATAAACAAATACTGTAAAATTTTTACCAGGATAAAACATGCCAGTCTCTTCTACAGCAGGGTTAGGTTAATGTAAAAGGATCAAAAATAGAAGAGAGGATTAACATCACTCTAAAAACTTAAATTACTTTGCAAACATAGTTATAGATTGTACCAAAGTGGCAACTTCCAAAGAAAAAGGTAAAATTGCTTAAAGCCTGTTTAAAATAAATTATTGCTATTCAGTTGTTTTGCTTGCAATGAAATAAATTACATTAATCACTCAGGAAATAAAAATCATAAATACCTTTATGCTCAGGACTGCACTGAAGATAACACTGGATGCTAGATTTTACTAGCATTAAAAACTGGTAAAGGCCACTTTTTGTAACATAAATGCCAGCGACTAACACAGGACTAGATGGTCAAAGCAGATGGCAGTTCTGCCTCCTTAGCAATAGAGAGTTGCTGAAAGCTGACTTAGAAGTTTCGCAGCACTGCAAGCAATCTTAATATACTTCAGCCAAACAATTAAGACAAAGTCTGCTAAGTGGCTTAGGGAAGTTAAGACTGTCTTTCTCTTTTTGCCTAATTACTCGTGGGAAAAGTGGTTTTATGACACAGGACCACAAAAGAAACCGACTGCCGCAAAGCTCAGGTCTTTATGGGGCCATTTTCTCTGAAAAGCAAATCACTGCAGTTTTGTGCTTGCAGCCTCTATTCTAAAACAGTTAAGAGCATAAGGGCTGAAACCTAAGTCCATACTTACCAATACCTTTCCACAGTCTGCTTTATTCTAATTTGCTTTTAGTAATGGTACTCAGAAAAAGGCCACACAGAAAAACTTTCTGGTGTGTTTCAGCCATTCATACAACAGACATCCATCCACAGAAACTTAACATAAAAACCACCCCCAAAAAACCACAACCCTTAATTCAAAGTCTGAAAAGGTTAACTTTATTAACAAGCATTTAAAACAACAAAGAAATGAGCCTGTCTAAATGCAGCTGGCAAATTCAGGATTCTAATCAGACCAGTAGGATATCTCTTAATATGAGGGTATACTATTTTCCAGGCCATTGCCACCAGTGGCCACTGTAACATATACTGCTGCCATAGCTGCCTCCTAAAGAAATTGACTGTAATTGCTAGTTTTGGTGTTGTCATTCAGATAAAGTCCAAGGAACGAAAAGTGTGTTAAAATGAGAGAGACATGAAATCTATCACATCGGGTCAAAAGATTTAAGTCTGTCATGTGGTAAAAAGACTAAATACATTTGACTAGCCATCTCTAAGAAATAGTTCATTTCAATGCACATGTAATTACTAGTCTCAAGTTATTTGTTTACTTGCTATTAGGGCAGCTCAATGTTAAGAAAATATTAATCGTCTTGATAAAATTCTGATCTTCATTATCAAGTAATATATACCTCTCACTTGCAAAGATCTGCACGTGGCTCAAAAAAAGGATGCAAAAATTAGTATACAAGAGGTTTTGTTTTTAAACAACCACGAATTACTCAACTGCACAGAAATTACATGTTGTCACAGAAAAAAAGTCCCCAAGAGAATACAGTTTTGTTCTATAAGGAACTGAACAACATACTGGGGAATTCTAGCAAAGGATTTCAAATAGAAGCACAGGCACTGAAGTAATGAGATCAGAACCGCTCAACAATATCAAACTGAAATGTTGATCTTGTCCTGAAAACAAAGTTGAGCTATCCATTCTGCTATGCCATCTGCATAAAGAAGTAGTTGCTTCTGAATACGTATACATAGATGCAAAAAATGCATTTCACTTAACCTTTTATTTTCAAAATAGCCCATAAAAAATAACTCTTAACAGTTCAAGTCAGCTGCACTGTTAATCCTGATGTAGAGAGATTATGTAAATAAACCACTCATCAGGGCAACTACTTTCCTTTATTCTAGCCCAGAAAATACTATTCCACAGCTGCTAAGCAAAAAAAGGATTGATACTGGTGGAAGTGGTCTTGGTAGAGAGCCATAAGAACGTATGGAAGTCCCAGAGATCAGAGTTTTTGCACAGAACTCAAAATTTGTGGAAAGCTTGTGAAATTAGTTGTAGTTTCAAACAAATCTTTCAAGCAACACAGTATCTTCATTTAACACAAAATTACAGAACTTACAATCCTTCAAAACAATGATGGATATTCAGTTATTTTGCATGTGTTTCTCTCTCCACTGTGGCTTCTGTTCGACTTTGTTTTAAACCCTGTAGGACACAATTTAGTAAAATCTTGTTTTTACTAACACGGAAATAAAATCTTTAGTCATAGAACAAAAACATTTTTGGACAAATATTTTTTTAGCCCTTTACAAATCAACAATAGCTTTTAACTCCTGAGGTAAATTGGAATAGGCGGTTTAGAAAGGATAAGAGCCAAACTACATGTCTTTTTTATTATCAGGGGCTCTACAGAGTAATTTAAAATACATGTTTCTTGTTCAAGCAAATAAAAGCAATCCACAATTATATATAATCTGAAGCAAGAACTTTCAAAATTAATCTTTTGAAGATATCCTATGGCACCAAATCCCCCCTTTCCAACTTCCCCAGTACAAAGGGTTTAATTCCTCTTGTAATTTTCTTTCTTCATAAATGTACAAAGGAAAACAGAAATCAATACTCCATGTCACAAATTTCCACAACTATTCTGACAACTCCTGCTGGACCTTCCCAATCACCTGAAAGCATTACTGATAAACAGGCTCCGCAAAAATGCCAATCTGATCCTAAATGTGATACTACCACTCATACTCAAAGAGAATATATAGAAAACTACTGGATAATAAACATATTCAGATTTACTCCACCTGTCTACAAGGACAGAACTGATTGTTTCAGAACAGCTAGAAAACACTGACTATAAAAGTACCTAATGGGACCCCTCCAGAGGAACAAAGAACTAAAACAGCATCGGCTATGCATACATGCTGGCTCATGCGAATCCTACTCAAGGACAAGAATAATTATACAACACAAAATACCCTTAAATTTAGCTATCATAAATTAGAATGAAATCTAAAAAGTAACTCTCCCTGTCTAACTTCTTGCTGAAAACAGCAGCAGCAACATAAGAACAAAATTACAATGACATTTCAGGACAAAAATGGCACATACCAGATAATAGCCCGTGTGATAACCACTCATGTACCAGGCTATCAACATGCTCCCCAGTGCTTCATCATACTCAGGAGAGTCTGGCCACATAGGTGGTGGAGGAGGAATCAACTAAGAAATCACAAGGGAAACAAAGTCTGTGTTTCAGTAGGGTATATCCTAGGTGAGATAGCACACAATTCTAAAAGAGCAAAATATAAAACTGAGAAATAGGAACATATCCTCAATGTATTCTCTGAAAAGGAGTAAAATAAGACAACATTTTCTAAAAACATGTGATTTCCAAAGCCTGGGAGAAATAGGATTCCTGCAGCTTGACTGTATACAAGGAGTTTTATTGTAGGAAAATATCTGCATCACTGGAATGCTGTTAATCAAATACAAGGTGCAGTTCCTTCAAACATTTTTTCTCTTGATATTCTTAACAACAGCTTCACTGTCATAAAAATGAGTGCAGACCAGACCTTTTGCATTACACTCTTGTAACAGTTGTAAACTGATTGTGTTATTAAATACCTGGAAAATACAGACTCTAATACAGAAATGTGTTCTAACAACCCAAGGGGTGAGCATTATTCAGTTAGAAAAGTTGAGATCACCAATACTCATCTCTGACATCTTCTTCCTCATTCTCCTATCACTTACCGGTGGTCCTGCCAGGAAGGGGGGTGGGCAGCAAGGCAAAAATGACGGTGATGTCCTGAATTTTGGCTACATTGAAAAACAATTGAATAGTGCAAATTAAAAAGAAATTGCAGGCATTATGACTATATTTAAGAGAATTATTTGAAGCCATTCACAAACCTTAAACTAAAGGCAATACATCCCAGCAACTTAATGAAACTGCAGTTACAACCCCACAGTAGCTATTTCTGTAGAACACTGCATGACTGGGAAAGTAAAACATACACGTCACTGGGTAAACAGTGCTGAAACACTGTTCTAGTTAATAAAAGCACTTTAAAAAGTTTGTGTTTTTTAAATTCCTAAAGAGAAGTAAGTGGTTGCACTCTTACATGAAGAAACATATCTAATACTGCCCTTGGGCAAACAGATAATTTCTCTGGTTTTGTGTGGCTGGGGGCACATGCTGACTAAATTCCATTATGTTTGTGAATGTCTTAAAATGAGCTTAAACACAGATGTGTTGATACAAACCGAAAAAGATAAAATAAAATCTTATAAAGAAACCTTGCACAAACAGTGATATTTAGAAAATATAATGCTGCATTTAACTGCACTGTTATTTAGACTCCTACACAACAGGAAAACTAAAAAGTATAACCAATACCCCAGCACTCATAATTCTGTAGAGAAGCTACAGCTGAGAACTTCTACAAGATCTGGACATCACTTTTGCTGCCTTCAGTGTCCTGTGTAGTGAAACTTATCAATTGTTTAGAAAAAATGCAATCTAAAAAGATCAACAGTGCTATCACTAACAGCACTATCACAGTCCAGGGAACAACACTCCTCTTTTAAGTTACAAGGCAATTGCAAAGCAAGCGTTAAGCTAGGAAGAGGACTTTCCTCAGTAGACAGCAACTACACTGCTGAAAAAAGGCTACACTGTAGCCAGATTATGAAAAAATAACATACCAACAGGCTCTAACATGCATATCTGTATATCCATTCTCAAAATGCTATTACTTGGTTTCTAGACAATGATAAATTTCGCCCTATTATCTCAGAATTTACACACTAGACCTACCAGTGGTATATGAATAATTTCAAATAAGGCTGAGCTTACCATTCCCAAGCCTGGAGCTGCTGGTGGTATGGGAAAACCTAAGTTTCGAGAGGAGAATCTTTCTTTCATGTAGCTGTTTCTGTTTTGAGGTAACTGGAAAGATTTTTCACTTTCATCTGTTGAATTTGGAGTCTCACTGTCATTCTAGAAGACCAAGACATTTTCATGAGATGCATCAGACAGTAGTTTACAGCAAGCAATTTTAGTGTGAAAGAGCTTGGTAAGCCCCATCCACATCCTTCCCTCTTGCTAGCCCTCCAAGTCCTACTCAGGAAAGACCTTGCATCCTCATAATCTGCTTACCATTTTAGGTATGTTATTTTTCACCAGTGAATTTCCTATTGTCCCTTACCTTTCTGCCACACTGAGTTCAAGAAGTGGAGGGATGCTTTCATTCCCTCCATCAGCTTGTGTTCATTCACAATGAAATTGGGTATTGATTCTCACCCTGAACACTGAAGCCATACCAGCTGATTCTCCCACTTTCTCCTTTTCAGAAGAACGAAAAAGCGTCCCTCACTTCCCCAGATTTCCCTACCCCACTTACTGTTTCATCACTGACTGGAAGAAGTAGATCAGACAGGTTCTGCTCCTCCCGATTTCCATACCCCATGTAGGTAACAACACATGTGCCTCTCTTCTGATTGATGGAGACAATAGTTGCTGGGTAAACATGACCATCCTCAGACCAAACAGCATTACAGCTGTCACCAACTCTCCACTGCAACAGAGGCAAGAGAGGCAAGTAAATACCTACACCAATGATCAGAGAAAGATGCCTTTTCCTAAACTACATTTTGTCCCACCCATGAGAAAGAGGAGTCCCATCCAGAAACTTTTTCCTTTGTATTTAGTGAAATTGCTCAATGTAACCTATAAATAAGGTTTCAAATATTATCACCCCCTCCACCCCAGAATGCTACTCTTGAGGTCATGAAAAAACTGCTTTGGAGCACCACAGCAAAGCACAACATACAGTATGGACAACATTAGCATTTACAGCGAGGTGACCTGTTTCAAAGGGACTGCGTTACTCGTCCTATTCCTGTTCTTTCTATTGTTTTTCCTCTTCATCCCCAGGTGCTGCTCCTGTTTGACCAAAGGCTCCGAACACTCCCCATCCTTCAAAGCATTCTGCGGGAAAAGAAAGGACGAAATCAACAAAAGGCGACCCAACGGCCTCAGCTCAGCGTCCCGGTGCACCTGGGCCGCCCCCGTTACCTTGAAGGAGGCCACTGCCTTGTCATACGCCTTGATCAGTGCCGTGTCGTCCCACACATCCGAGTCGCTAAGGGGCCACGGCCCGCTTTCCCGCCGCTCCAAAGCCACTATCCTCCCGTCGTCGCCCCACCCTCCGACCCACCTGGTCCCGCTTTTCCCCAGCGCCTACCTGCCCGGTCCCACGCCGGAACAGCACCCGCTCCGCCATAGCTGGCCACTGCCTCGCGCGGACGCATGCAAGTATCGTCACTTCCGGCGCGCCGCAGCCCTGC